GAATTGTATATAGTTTGTTATATAAAATAATTTTTTGTTAAAAATAATAAATATATATTTTATAATAAATTTAAAAAATAAAAATTAATATTTAATTAAATTTATTTATTTAATAATGATACTAAAATTAATTTAATATTTACATTTCTATTAAAAAATACACCCTTTAGAAATCTAATGTCTAACCTTGGACTAACCTCCTCTGGGTTTGTAATTATCCTCGGCCTCTGTCTCTTTTTTTTTAAGAAAAAAAAGATTACCAAGAGTCAAACAAACTATAATAATTTATACCTATTGACAATGACTTGAGCTGCAATAAAAAATAAAAAATGAGGCAAAAAAGCAGCCACATATGGACCACACTAAAAATTACGGTATTTTCTTTTTCATTTTGAAAAATCGGACGTTTCTTGAAGAAAACAAAAATGGAGAACAGATAGAGGATGTGTAATTGCCTGAGTCTGGGGGTTAGAATTGTATGAGACAGTTGGCAGTAGGTTGGAATTAAGGTTAAGTCCAACATGCTTTAGGAGAAAATAAAGACACAGATGCCTTAGCCTTTAAAACCAATTAGCGGTGTAGCAACAACCACCAAAATTTGTCTACCTCAACGAAGAATTCTACTTTTTTAAAGGGGTACCAAAAAAAAATCTATTTTCACACTTTGACAATTTGAGTGTTCTTTAAAAAAAAAAAATGAAAAATAAAACCTTTTAGAAAAATATTATGTAATATGAATTGTTAAATTACATGACATTAACTATTAAATAAAATTAAAAACTCTCTCATTTAATTATTTTTATTTTATAATTTAATATAATTTAAATAGTAAAACAAAATATTTAACGTTTTATTGACTTGCTGTGCCTAAAAAGAGTTCTGGCCCATTCATTTATTTGCGTTTTAAAGATGGGCCATTCAAAATATTAGCTGCAGGCCCATATCTCTTGCCGCAGCCCGGTAATCGGGTCTGGAGTCGGCCTTCTTCTCTATGTCTCATGGAGGACGAGAAGCGAGTTCCAACTGACCGTAACAGCTGAAAGGCAAAACCTAGGTTGGTTCCTACCTCGTCTCTGCATTCTCTCACAGTCGGAAGTCGCCGATCCGGTAAATTTCTTTCTTTTCTTAGTTTTAAAACTGTTTTCCTCTGAAAAATTGCACTGAATTCCCACAACATTTCCCTGGATTCTTTGTGGCGCATGGTCAAGGCAGCCTATATGGACCTTACCTTACTCTGTTCTACGCTAAGGAATCTGTGCTTGTGAATTGCTGTAAAAGAAAAGGTTTTCTAGGTTTATATGGGGTTCTCAGTTTTCTGTAGAAAACTGCATTTCAACTGTTTGTTGATATTCCTCTGAAAGTTTTTCCTTTTCTTTTTTTGGATTCTTGGGTAGATATTCTACAGAGGGAGTTTCAATTTGAAATTATTTATGCTGGGAAAGTGAATTTATGGGCGAAGATGGGGTCTTTCAGTGTATTAGATATTGGGTTAAGTATGGTGTTTGGTTGCACCGTTTGATTTCGTTGGAAGTTTTCAATGTAAGTGACTTTGTGGTAACTCCGAAATTTGTGTCCTTTAGCATTGTGGAGAAGCTCATTGGAATAATATAACAAGTTATTTTGATTGATTTGCTGATTGGTTTAGTTCTTGTTTGATATCCATTTTGTTTGAAAATGCATTCTGTTTTCTTCATTTCTAAAGGTTGGTTTTTGTCAGTTTAATTTGGGAATTCCGGGAAGTCGGTATAGGTACTTCTTTTGTGTATTTTCTTCTTGATGTACTTGGTTACTCTTTTAGTGAAGCAGGGAGAAAAGGGTCTAGTTGGAGTAGAAATGGAGCGCTTTGGTAGTTGGCTTGAATAATTTATATTTTTTAGGTTCATTTCTTCTGCATCTAGTTTTCAGTTTTGGGGATATCATTGTTTTCTGCGATGTACTTAATTTGATCTTCATAAACACCTTAAACCAATATCTCTGACTGCATTGTGGTGTAGTATGTTTCGTTGATTTCAGTAGTAAAACTGCTTGTTGTTCAAATTGGATGATCAAAAAAGAGAAAGAAAGTGGGAAAAGAATGGGGGGATGGGGTTAGTTGTTATCAACATATTTTTTGATGTCAGCTTTTAGTCTATCGTTATATCTTATGTCTATTTGAATAGGAAATTGGACATCTCTGTTCCTCAAACAGTTCCATCTTTTAGTTTACATTTAACTCCTAATCTCTCTCATTCCCAAAGCCATAATTAATTACTGCTTTTGTTGAACCCATTGCAATCCAAAGCTAGATTTCCAGAATTGCAAATTCTAGAAGTTATTTGGTTCCATATTCTTTTATGTGAATCTGAATTCTTGGCCAAACTGAATTGTTGTCCTTTGCCCAGACTAACAACTAGCCCCATCTTGCATGGTTTTGAGTAGCTTTATGAAAGTTAGTTTTATCCTTATGATTGTTGGTTTTCATTTTATTATATTTTTACTTGCTTGATTTTTTGAATCTTTTGGGACTTTTTTCTGTTCTGGTTTCTATTTTTCCAAAATGGATAACTAAATCCATCTTGTGTGGTTGTGTAGTTTTATACCAAGAAATGGGTCGGAAAGCTGGTCAACTCTACCTAAACCCAAAAAGATTTGCCTCTATGAATAAACCTTGCATGAAGGAAATGATATCGTTACTCAATTGCTTGTCTCTTAACCACCTAAATGATGAGAAATGTGCTCGGCAAAAGGAACTTTTGACGACTTGTATGGAGGCTCAGGTATGTAACTATGGTTTCCTACATAATGATAGGGTCAAACGGAGAAATAACGCCCTTTGTAAAATTTACTCCCTTGCCTATATTACCTGGAACCCTAAATATTGAATTACATGTATTGATATGTGATAATGACCCCAAACCCTGCTGTTACTTTTCATTGTCATTCCCATCTTAGGCTTGCTAAACTACTCCATGCAGTGAGTTGTCTTATTCTGCGTTGTCTAACCTTGAATTCAGTTTTTGGTTTGACACCTCAATTGCTTTTCTCCATGCTTTCTAATAAACATTATGATTTACTTTCTTGCAGACTAGTAGTCAGAAAAAGGCTTTCGGAAGCATTAATTACCATTTGCAGAGGCTTAACAAGGGAAGGAAGTAGATCGGTTTTGTGAGGAAGAATGTCTAGCATGTCCATTCATCAAGTTCATCAATTTCAACAATTTGGCAGGGAAGCCAGTGATCAGGTTGTAATGCTAGAGAATCTTTTTGCATGATTTAAACTTAAGTTTTGAACGTAACATATGTAGTTTAAATTAATCCTATTGATGGCAAGTTCTGTAATAATCTATTGACAAGAATTCATTTATGAATGCTCCAATTTGAAGGAACATTTTGATGTGTAATATTATTAAAGGTTTGAATATTGCTAAGCGTTGGTGTTAGGAATAAGGATGAAAATATCAAAGTATCCAAACAAAACCTAACCTTCTATTTCAATTCACAAAAGAATGGATATCTAAAACTCAGTATGAATCGAAAAACGCATCTACGGGCAAACACGTTCCCAATCGAAATTTAAGAATTTTTTGTTATAACAATTTGAAATTAATAATTAGTGATTTTATTTAATTTGATAATTAATAATAATTACAATTAATAATGTATAGATTCTTATTTACTAAATTAGAAGAAATCATTAACTGTTAATTTTAAATAATTACACCGAAAACACTCTTTTTAAGTTGAAAACTTTCTCCTTCAGGGAGTTGGAATCCCCCGGCACATGTTCCTAACTACCTTCACTATTATTATATTATATAATTTATAATTGTTTGTTTCATATTCACTCAAAATGTTAGCCCAATTCTAGACAAGGTCTGGCCCAGATGAATTCTATTAATTGGAGGCCAAAAAAGTAATAGCCCAATTTTGAGGCGAGGTCTTAGTCTAACACGTTCTTTTTTTTTCTTTTTTTTTGTTCCTGTTCAAGGCTCAATTTCGTCTAATATGTTACAGCCCATTACTCTAACTAATTGTCAACAATTGGGCCTTTACCTATAAATTTAATTCCGGTAAGGCCCACTTCCTGCCTTCCTGGAACCAATCTAGACACATTTGTGAATATTAAAAATCTATAGTAGTAGCAGTTGGGCGTTACAGCTCAACTATTATAAGTTAGGATATAAGATGCACTCCCCAATTCAAGGGCTGGGGTTTAAATGCTTTCCTCCTCAAATGTAAACCTATTCAAAGAGAAAAAAAATCTATTAAAGTAATGTTCTCTCTTTTTCTTTGATATATATATATCCTATTATGACTTTACAAAAAGGAATAATTATTGCTTTTTTAGAATGTTAAAAATTTGACGTTTGTAATTTGGTTCAGATGCTGAAAATGCGAAGAGGCAACAAGGTACTGTTTGCCTGAGCTATAAAGCAATTGACATGAATAGGATGTTATTGTCTGTCAGAAATGCATGTGCAATTATGAAGTAAAAGTTATGGTAGCTGTGTGTGTTTTCTCAAATTTGATATTTGAGGGGACGAAATTCATAATTTAGGTCCGCCCAGCCACGTGTTAGGATCACAATTCTGTGACAGATAACAGATGGACAGAGCTTTTCTTTTCCAGGATTCGAATGTTGATCCCCTCAAGCATGCATTTGCTGTCCCCCAGTTATCATATCATCACGTACATTTTTCCTGTATTTATGGCCAAGTTATGAGCAATTTTCCTTAGTTGTACCAAAGGTGCACTCTTTATATTAATTAGTTTAATATATTTTTAAAAAATTAATATTTTTAAATCCTAATTACAAAACTTGAATCACAAGTATAATATTACAAAATAATACCTACTTCTCAGTAAATAAAATCTTTGAATCATGTCATCATATATTGTAAAAAGATAAATACCCACGTAACACATTAATTAAGGCTGTTACAGAAAGTGAAGATGCTACTTTCTGGGCCATACTAGAAACCTTAATAATTTATTTAAGGAATGATTTAAAAAAAAAAACACAAATTGGGAGTATTTTTTTTATTATAAATATATTAAAAAATTATAAAAATTAATATTATATAACTTTAATTAAATAATTAATAAATTAAATATTAATTTTTTATATAAAATTTATAATAAAAAATATTTTTAATATATTTTTAATCTATATTTTTAAAGTACAAATTAAATAAATTCTTTAAAAAATATTCGTTTTGTGATTATAAAAGAAATAAAGAATATTTATTAGTTATCTTAATTTGACAAATGTTACCATTGGATTGGGTATGTATGAAAGCTGCAAATTTTGCTTCCTTTTGCCATAGAAATGAGCAAAGAAAAGGCCGTACCACTGTCAAAGAAGTTCTGACAGGGAATTAGATTCCAACGTCGCTATTCTTTCAACCTTTTTTGTTTTAAATGTTTAAATTACAAATAAAATTAACAATCCACACGTTTCATTGGTAATCTTTTCAGTTGGTGGCACGATACACATCCTCCATGCAAATTCATTAATTAATTAAGCAACAAAAGAAATATATAAATAATTCCGAAATGAATAATTAAACATACTTTAGCAGAAGTAGTACATCATGACTCTATCAAATTTTAGAATCAGTAGATAATAAGTAAAGATTCATATAGTATTTAAATTAATTTTTAACTAATCGAATGCAATATTTAATGTATCCTTTCTTTAATTACTTGATCAATTCAATTATAATTGAGTTTTTTAAATTTATATCTTTAAGAATCTTAAAAATATAAAAATTAATATTTAATATTTAATTATCTAATTAAATTTATGTACCTAATAAAAATTTTAAAATTAATATTAATTTTGATATTTTTTTATATAAATTTATAATTAAAAAATACCCTTAAATTTATCTTAAAAAAACCTATTAAAATTTTACAAGGCGATAATTGAAGCGGAGTAATTAATTAAGCTGCTGCATGCGTTGAAGCCTTGATGATGAAGCTGTATCGTGCTTTTCCACCGTCCAAAAGAAGCGCATATATTCTGTACTAGAAGAGAATTGAATCAATCAATTGTGGGTGTGGTTATTCCATTCATATATTATT